GAAAAATAAACTCAAATTGAATAAAATCAAAAGGACCCATACATAATACATATATACATAGGTATGTCATTATCAAACTATCAAAAACCAAAGCTAGAAAGAATCTTAAGAACACCAAGAACACCACTCATCAGGCAAAACAGATTATCTAGGAGATTAACAGCTGATATTTCATTAGAAAGCATGTGTCCAAAGAAAGTGAGATTACATATTTAGAATGCTGAAAATAAAGGACTGTCAACCAAGAATTCTATATGCAGCAAAACAATCCTTCCAAAATGAAGACTATAATAGGACTTTTCTAAATTAAAAAAAAAAGTTGAAAGAATTTGCCACTATCAGAACTTCCCCATGAGAAATACTAAAAGAAGTCTTTCAGAATGAAATGAAAAGACAAGAGACAGTAACTCAAAGCCACATGAAGAAATAAATATTACAAGTAGAGGTAATTCTTACGTAAATGTAAGACACCATGAATATACTTTTGTTTGTTAATCCTTTCTTATTCTATCGTATTTAATAGACAACTTCATAAATCAGTAATTTTAAAACTATGTTTATGGGTTTATAATATATAAAGATATAATTTGTATGACAATAATGGCACAAAAAAGGAGCTAAGGAACAAAGCTATACAGAAGCAAACTTTGTAAACAATTGAAATTAAGTTAGTATTAATCTGAACTAGATTGTTATAACTTGATGCCAACTGTAAGTCCCAGAGCAACTAATGAAAACTAAAAAAAAAAAAAAAAAAAGAAGCAATAAGAAAAATAAATAAATAAATTTAAAAAAAATTTTTTAAAGGAGCAACAAGAAATTAAAGTGGTATGTTTTTTAAAATATAATAGAAAAGGAGGTAATGGAGGATAGAGGAATTTTTTAAAAGACATAGAGAAAACTAATAGCAAAGTAAAAGATGTAGGTCCTCTCTTATCAGTAATTACATTAAATGTAAATGAATTAAACAGTACAATCAAAAGACAAGGATTTGTCTAGTGCAGAAAAAAATGCTATTCAACTATATGTTCAACTCATAGAGATACAAATAGGTCTAAAGTTTAAAAATTGAAAATTTGAGATGTGTATATGTTTACATACATTCTGCTATTGTTGGGTAGAGTATTCTAATAGCTGTCTAAATCAAGTCGGTTTGTATTGTTTTTCAATTCTTCCTCCTTATAGATGATCTACCTAATTGTTCCATCCCTAATTTTTCCCTTAATTCTATCATTTTTGCTTAATATATTTCTGGGCTCTGATGTTAGGTTATGGGATTCTTGATGGATTGACTCTATAATCATTTTAAAATGTACTTCTTTGCTTCTAGTAATCATCTTACTGCAAAGCTATAATAACCAATACAGCAGGTACTCACATAAGAATAGCCATATAAATCAATGGAAGAAAATTGAGAGTTCAGATGTAAACTCATATATCTATGACCGATTGATTTTTGACAAGGTACCTAGTCTATTCAACGGGGAAATAATAGTCTCTTCCACAGTTGGTGTTCAGATAACTGGATGAGGTTGGACCCCTACCTCATACCATATAAGAAAAGTAATTCAAAATGATTGATGACCTACATATGAGAGCTAAAATCTTAAAACTCTTAGGAGAAAACAGGAGTAAATATTAGTGACCTTGGATTAGAATATGATTTTTTTAGACATGATACTAAAAGCAAAAGTGACAGAAGAAAAGATAGATAAACTGAACTTTCTCAAAGTTAAAAAAAACTTCTGTGCTTCAAAGGACAAAATCAAGAAAAGTCATTTGAAAATCACTTGAAAAGATACCCACAGAACATAAGAAAATATTTGCAAATAATATATCTGATAATGGACTTGTATCCAGCACAGATGAAGAACTCTTACAATTCAGCAATTAAAAAACTAATCACCTAATTTTAATACAGGCTACATATTTAAATAGCTCCTTCTAAAAAAGACATACAGATGACTAACAAGCTCATGAAATGTTGAATTATCTACATACTTAGTCATTATTAAATTGCAAAACAAAATCACAATGAGGTACTACTTCATACCCACTAGGATGGTTAAAATGAGAAAGGATAACAAGTGTTGGTGAGGATGTGGAAAAACTGGAACGCTTCTATATTGATGGTGAGAGTGGAATTCCCTCAAATGTTCAACAGAGTTATTACTGGTCACAACTCTACTCCAAGGTATATACCCAAGGGAATTGGCATATGCGAACCCAAGTTCACATAAAACCTTCACATGAATATTAATTGTGGCATCATTCATAATAAACAAAAAAGTAGAAACACCCAAATGTTCCTCAGCTAATGTATGGATTTTTTAAAAAAGTATATTCACACAAAGGAACAATAATTGGCAATAAAAATGTATGAAGTACTGATACACACTACAACATGGATAAATCTTGAAAACATTATGCTAAATGAAGGAAGCAAATCACAAAAAGTTCCCATTTTATGATGCCATTTATATGAAATGTCCAAAATAAGCACATCCATAGACTCTGAATGTAGATTAGTGATTTCCAGTGGCTGGGGGAGGAGAAAATGTCATTACTGCTAATGGGTATGGAGTTTCTTTTTAGGGTGACAAAAATGTTTTGGAATTAGATGGCTGAGATGGTTACACAACTCTGTAAGTATACAAAAACCAGTTAATTATATATTTTTAAAAGAGTAATATTATGGTATGTGATTATATTTTTATATTTTTAACATAATATGGGGAAAATCATATCATCTCGAGATGTAGAAAATGCATTTGATAAAATTCAAAATCCATTCATGATTAAAAAAAAAACACCTTAGCAAACCAGAAATTGAAAGGACTTCCTTAATCTGACACAGAGTATCAGTAAAAGTCTTTCTGCAAACATTATAATTAAAAGTGAAATATTGAAACCTTTCTCTATGACAAAGAAGAAACAGGAAGCATAAAGATTGGGAAGGAGAAAATAAACAGTCATTTGCAGATGACAGAATGTGCACTTAGAAAATCCAAATGAATCTACAAAGAGGTATAAAAATCAGTATGTGATTCATTTGTATACAAACAGAAATTTTTTTTAGAGATTCCATTTACAAATGACATAAAAATATCAGATACACATAAATAAATCTAAGAGAAGATGAACAAAATCTTTCTGGTTGAAATTATCAAACATTACTGAGAGAAAATAAAGAATAACTCATTAAACTACTTAAGTAAAGATTACCACAGTATATCATTTTGATGGGTTGGAAGATTCAATGTTATAAAACAATTCTGCCTAATTTGAACTATGGATTTAATGCAATCCCAATTCAAACCAAAAAGCACTTGAGGAAACTGCACAGTGATTTGAAAATTTACATAAAATGTGAAGGGCCAAGAATAGGCAAACAATCTTTCAGAAGTAAAAAGCTGAGGGACTAACACTGTTGAATATAAAGACTTACAAAACTACAGGAATCCAGACAGAGCAGAATTAGCTTAATTCTATGCCAAATAGAGGGTCTAGAAACACATGTATATATAATCAATCACTTGACCAAAAATAAAGGTGACATTATAGTACAGAGGGAAAAGATAATACTCTAAATAAATAAAGGGCAGTGGGTCAATTAAATATAGGCACAGAAAAAAGTTAATCCATAGCTCTCACCATACACAAAAATTAATTCCAGAATATGGTATTGTAAATATAAATGCTAAAACAATAAGGTCCAAGAAGAAAAGAGGAAAAAAAAAAAAACTTCTACATTTTGGTGTAGGCAAGGATGTTTTAAACAAGACACCAAAAAGGAATCACAAAATAAAAGACTGATAATATAGACCCATTAAAATTAAGACCTTCTGTTCCATAATTTGACACTAGTAAGAAAGGCAAGCCACAGAGTGGGAGATCTTCACAATACATAAACCCAAGAGTTGACATATCTAGGATACATAAAGAACCATAAATCAAGAACAAAAAGGCAAACTACCCAACCAAAGAATGGATAAAACACTCAGACAGATGCTTCATGAAAAGGGCTGTTCATATCACCAAATTTTTTTGAAAAATTAATCAAACTCATCATGGAAATGCAACTTAAAACCACAAAGACAACAATACTATCACCAGAATTGGTAAAATGAAAAAGACTGACAATAACAAATGTTGGGGGAGGATTTGGAGCAACTGCAGCTTTCACACCCAGTTGACTGGAGGATAAATTGGTACAACCACTTTAAAAAACTTTTCGCTGAATAAATATATGGACCATGTTCAATCAAAGACATGCACAAGAATAGTCAAAACATCACTATTCATAATAGCTAGAAATAGCTCAATTGAACAATTGAATAGAATAACAATTGAACAGAATAATATATTAGGATATATAATATATTAGGATACTATGCAACAGTGAGAATGAATGAACCACAAGAGGAGAATGTAAGGAATCTCTCAAACATAATGTTGAGCAAGTGAAGCTAGATACAAAAGGAGTCCATCCTTCCCAATTTCACTGACACAAAGTTCAGAAGTGGGTAAGATGACAGATATCACCTTAGATGGCTTCTCTTAGAAGAGAGGTTTCTTTGGGGGGGTAAGATGACTGGAAGGGGGCTTGAGAGATTTAGGGGGTTGCTGGACGTTTGGTGATTTGCTTCTTTAAACTTAACATTTTCAAGGTTCATCCATATCATAGCATGTACAAGTACTTCATACGTTTTTACTGCCAATTAATATTCAACTGTAAGAATATACTGTTTTTTTAAATCTATACATTAGATGAAGAATATGAGGGTTGTTTCCACTTTTGGTTGCCATTATTAACGCCACTACAGACATTCATGTAGAAGTTTTGTGTGATCTATCTCTTTATCTGGGTGCTGGTTACAGGGGTCTGGTCACTTTCATAAAATACACTGAGGTATGTATTATATGTATACATTCTTGTATGAATGGTGTATTTCAACAAAAATTTCTTAAATGAAATGAAATGAAACACAGACACATACATTGCTTGCCTTTTTCCTGTTGTGGAGAGAAGCAAATTCTGCTGACGTTGCTGCTTTCGGTTTGGTTTCTAAACTGGGAGCAGGTGAGGAAACCGGGCCAGGAGGCGTTCACCATCCCTAGGACTGATTCACAGCCCTCTTTTGCAGCCTCACAGAAAGACCTACAGGGCAGGAGTCCACGGCTAGAAGTAAAAAAAAAAAAGTGAAAATTAATGTTTTTACTGACTACCTTTTGAAATAACAATGAAATTAAAGTTAGCCACCAGTGCCGTGATATTATCTTAATTTATATTTTCTAGAGTCAACAACTTAAATTTCTACATTAAGTCCTAAAACAAGGATTGGAGCCACCCTATTACCATGATTCTAGAGGGAATAAGCTAGCTCCGTAATGTATCAGCTTACTATCTCTTGTAAAAATATTTATCTCAAGTGATTTTTTTTTTTTTAGATTTCCTGTGCTCAAGCAAACCTGTCAACCAAAAAAAAAAAAAAAAAAAAAAGCTCTAGTTAATAGCAAATGCAGTAAATTAACATAGAAAGGAAGGCCTCCAAATTGGAAAAGCAGAAGTAGGTCACAAAATAGGTTAATTTCATTTCTTTGTCTTCCCTTTGAGAAATTAAAAAGTGTCTCTGAGACGTAGACAGAAAGCTGCTCCTGGAATTCCACTGCTTCCCCAGAAAAAATGGACAAGGGCCAACTCAGTTGTTTATTATAGTAATAAACTATTGATCTTCATTTTTAAACAGTTATTAATCTTCCCAGATTTCTCCTTATCTTCTGCAAAATAGAAAAAAGCAAACAACTGCTATTAATGGTAAGAGTAATGATGCCCCCAGAGCTTGGCTTTATTCCTCTGCCTCGCAACCCAACACTTGTGGACAAGAATGTTACAATTCTAGTTGTAAATGTAGAAATGTTAAAAGGCAGGGACTTGTTCCCTTGCAGACCTGGCTGCCATCTCCCACATTGTAGCCACAGAATGCTCCTCTCGCCCTGGCTGGTGATCTGGCAAAGCCATTTCAAATCATTTTAAGGAAACTGGGAAAGAAGATATACCTGTCAGTCAAGGCAAAGCACACACTTCACTTGGTAGAGTCATGACGATGTTGCACGATCATACAATATGGGATCTATCACAAATCTTAAGCAATACCTGGTTCAAATCCTCCATTTGAGACAAGCCCAGGAAGATTCTGGGATGGACTCGAGATCATACATCTTCTTAATGGCAAAGCAGGAAGAGAATCCTGGTGTTCGAACTTTTGGTTTATGTTCTACCTACCCTTCTGTATTATCTATTTTCACATAAGGATCGAATAATCCAGCTTTAAAAAATCTCTTGATTAAGCAAGCACATTAAAATTCCCCATTCATACTTCTCTGGATAGCAGGAACATTAATGGGATACACCAGCCACCGAATTAAAACAGAACTGATAGAGTCTGTAGAAGAATTTTGGAAGAGGGATCTTGTTCTATATACAAATATGGAAAAGGGGTACTTGATAATTACATTCAGATGCAAAATGTTTTTGACCCTCCTCTCAGGAACTTGTCTCAAAACTCAGTATCTTGTAGAATCCTGATCTCCACATAATTACCTACCTACTAAATTTGTTAATGAAGATGTGGAAAGAGAGGTTTTGCATTTGAAAGATTCGGTTTGGGCTATAAAATTATGAACTTGTCCAGACAAGTTTCTTGGTATAAAGAAGACAGCTGACTGCCATTGAGAAATACATAGATAGTTACAGGACTAAGGAAGTGTCACTTAAATAACATTTTTAAATCTTATTCCAGAGAGGCACCTGGGTAGCTCAGTCAGTTAAGAGATACACTCTTGGTTTTGGCTCAGGTCATGATCTCAGGATGGTTGAACCCCACCATGGTCTCAGCTCTGGATGTGGAGCCTGCTTAGGATTCTCTCTCCCTCTCTGTCCCCACCCCCAATAACACGATCTCTATTCATTCTCTCCCTCTCCCAAGAAACAAAAATCTTATCCTAGGGAAGTTAGAGACTATATTTTCTCAAATAGAACTGAAGGACATGGTTGAGGAATCAGATCATAGAATTTTTAGGCAATTGCTTTACAACACTTTGCTAGGCTCTGATCTAAGTGCATTAACTCACTCATTTCTCATTAAAGCCCTAAGTGATGAGTACATTACTATCATCCCAAATATACAAATAAAAAAATTAAAGCACAGGAAAAATAAGAGGCTTGTCCAAGATCACTGAGGTGAGTGTCAGAGCCAGGATTCAAACCCAGTCAGACTGATCCCAGGATCCACTCAGTTAAACACTTTATTCATGTGAACCCATTCTTCAGGAATGTGTGTTCCAAAAGCACAATTCAAGGTTTGTTCAAAACTTGACATTTGGGGCACCTGGGTGGCTCAGTCATTAAGCGTCTGCCTTTGGCTCAGGTCATGATTCCAGGGTCTTGGGATCGAGCCCCATATTGGACTCTGCTCAGCGGGAAGTCTGCTTCTCCCTCTCTCATTCCCCCTGCTTGTGTTCCCTTTCTCGCTGTGTCTCTCACTGTCAAATTAATTAATTAATTAATTTAAAAAAAAAAAACAAAAAGCTTGATACTTAATATCAGAGATTTTGCAGGTTTGGTTCTAGACCACCACAATAGAATACTGTGACTATCATAATAAAACAAATCAAATTAATTTCTTGGTTTCCCATCACATATAACAGTTAGGTCAACACTATGCTACAGACAAATAAGTACGAAACAGCATCATGTCTTAAAAAACAATGTACCGTGTACGCACCTTAATTAAAAAATACTTTACTGCTAAAAAATGCTAATCATCATCTGAGCTCTCATTGAGTTATAATCTTTCTGCTGGTGCAGGGTCTTGCCTATATGTGGGTGGCTGCTGACTGATCAAGGTGGGGGCTGCTGAAGGTTGGGGTGATTATGGCAATTGCTTAAAATAAGACAACAGTGAAGTCTCCCGCATCCTTTGATTCTTCCTTTCATGAGCAATTTCTCTGTAACTGGGATGCTGTTTGATACCATCTTCCCCACAGTACAACTTTCAAAATTGGTGTCCATCCTCTCAAACCCTGCTGTGGCCTTATAAACTAAGTTTATGTAACATTCTAAATCTTTTGCTGTCATTTCAATAATTTTCCCACATCCTCACAGGAGCAGATCCCATCTCAAGAAACCACTTTCTTTGTTGATCCTTGAGAAGCAGTTCCTCATCTGTTCAAGTTGAATCATGAGATTGTAGCAATTCAGTCGTGTCTTCAATCTCCACTTCTCATTCTAGTTTTCCTGTGATTTCTACCACACCTGCTGTTACTTCCTCCACTGAAGTCTGGAACCCCTCAAAGTCTTCTGTGAGGTTTGGAATCCACTTCTTTCAAAATTCTGATAATGTTAATATTTTGATCTCATCCCATGAATCACAAATGTTCTTAAAGGCATTTCAATGGTTAATCCTGTCCAGAAGGTTTTCAATTTGTTTTTCCCAGATCCATCAAAGGAATCACCACCTATGACAACTATCACCTTAGGAAACGTATTTCTTAAACAGCAAGACTTGAAAGTTGAGATGACTCCTTGATCCATGGGCTAAAGAATGGGTGTTGTGTCAGCAGGCACAAAAACCACGTTAATCTCATTGTCCATCTCCATCTCTTAGGTGATCAGCTGCATTGTCAATGAGCAGCAATATTTGAAAGGAATCTTTTTTTTCTGAGCAGTAGATCTGGCTTAAAATATTCAGTAAATCATGGTCGTAAACAGATGTGCTATTACCAAGGCTTTGTTGTTCCATTTATAGAGTACAAGCAGAATAGATTTGGCGTAATTCTTAAGGGCCCTAGAGATTCTGGAAAGGCATATGAACTGTGGCTTCAACTCAAAGTCACCAGCTGCATTAGCCCTTAACAGGAGGGTCAACCTGTCCTTTGAAGCTCTGAAGCCAGGCATTGACTTCTCTCCAACTTTTGAAAGCCCCTGATGGCATCTTCTTCCAAGAGGAGGCTGTTTTATCCACACTGAAAACCTGTTGTTCAGTGTGGCCACCTTGATTAATTATTTAGCTGGATCTTCTGGAGGCACTCGCTGCAGCTTCTCCATCAGCACTGGCTGCTTTGCCCATACGTTTATGTTCTAGAGAAGGCTTCTTTTCTTAAACCCCATGAGCCAACCTCTGATAGCTTCAAACTTTTCTTCGGCAGCTTTTTCACTTCCCTGTCTTCACAGAATTGAAGAGAATTAGGGTCCTGCTTTAAGCTTTAGGAGTAGGCTTTGGGTTAAGGCAATGTTGTGGCTGGTTTGATCTTCTGTCCAGACCACTCAAACTGTCTCCCTATCAACAAGGCTGTTCTGCTCTCTTATCATGCATGTGTTCACTGGAGTAGCACTTTTAATTTCCTTAGAACTTTTTCTTTGCATTCACAATCTGGGGTTTTGGTACAAGAGGCCTAGATTTGGCCTTTCTTGGCTTTTGACACACCTTCCTTACTAAGCTTAATCATTTCTAGTTTTTTTTTAAGATTTTATTTATTTATTTGAGAGACAGAGATCACAAGTAGGCAGAGAGAGGGGAGGAAGCAGGCTCCCTGCTGAGCAGAGAGCCCGATGCAGGGCTCAATCCCAGGACCCTGAGATCATGACCTGAGCCAAAGGCAGAGGCTTAACCCACTGAGCCACCCAGGCACCCCTCATTTCTAGTTTTTGATTTAAAGTGAGAAACATGCAACTCTTCCTTTCACTAGAATACTTAGAGGTCATTACAGGGTTATTAATTGTCCTAATTTTACATTGTTTTTATCTCAGGGAATTGAGGGGACTGAAGGGAGGGAGATTGACCAGAGAACGGCCAGGGGAATGCACAGCACTTATTAAGTTCACCCTCTTATGTGAGTGTGGCTCACGGGACTTCAAACCAATTATAATAGCACATCAAAGATCACTAATTGCAGATCATCAAAGCAAATATAATACTAATGATAAGATTTGAAATACTGCAAGAATTACCAAAATGTGACACAGAGATGTGAAGGGAGCAAAGGCTGTTGGCAACATGGCACCCATAGACTTGTTTGACGCAGGGTTGCCGCTGACCTCCAATTTATAAAAAATGCAACACGTGTGAAGCACAATAAGGCAAAGTGCAATTAAACAAGGCATGCTTGCATGCACTTTCT